AGATATAAAGTGATAGAAGTTCTAGATAGTCACAACTATCATCTTGACATATTATCAGAGATTCATAATGTCTTTCATACAAGCTTACTTCACTGCACTGTCACTGATTCATTCTCTTCTTAACTGACTTTCAACTGACAGCTGCCAGAGATCATAGAAGAAGATAATAAGCTTAAATAAGAGATTGAAAATATTCTTAATGAGAGATCACACAGCTGTGACTGATAATATCTTATGAAATGAGTCAGCTATGATCAACTGATCTGAACTTCAAGTTCTATGTTATCTGAAACAGCAGTTCTTGACTGATGAGAACTGCTTCTGAAAGAAAAGAACTAATGTAACAGACTGCACCTGATCAATCATATAGACTATTCTATTACACTTCACAGATTTCAACTGCTTCATTCTTGAACATATATACTCTGATTCTCAGTCATTCTTAATCACTGATTCTTAGCTGCTATAAATACATACACTCTGATTCTCAGTCATTCTCAATCATCAATTCTCAGCTGCTATAAACACATATAGATTCTTCTGCTCTGAAGCCTCACTGTGTATATCTTAATTATAATATATATCAGAGATTTTACAATATAGAGAGATTAATAAGTTTGTATGTGTCTGAATACTACTCAAATATTAATGAGGTTATTATGATAAATATATTACTTATGAAAATAGAATTTTCCCAGCTCTCTCTGAAAATTAGTAGCAAAATATCATTAAAAAATCAAAATATTCGCATTTCTCTAGAATTATTCAATATCATTCAATACATGTTTTTTACAATTAAATATCATTTAAATACGCGTCTTTCTTATCTTTATCATTAAATTCATATATATCAATTAACTCTTTTTTAAATATACTTCACAATGTCTGCTGTTCTGCTACTTTGTAAGCTTATACAAAGACTTCTACTCTATGCCTCAGTCTTCTCAAACTACCTGTTTCAGAAATTCCGGATAATGAAGAGAATTCAGTCAATGATGAGATGAAGAAGCAGATAAATAAGAAGAATATAGAGACTCAGTCTGAGAATTCTTAATATTCATGAATCTCTACATCTGAGCCTGATATCTCATATAGATTATATAAACAGGTGATTATTAATAAGATAAAAAATTCTATTAAGATTAAATACTGAACTGTCTTAGTAAATGATTCAACTGTCAGCTTCTTTCATATTCAATATACTGTAGAAATGATAGCTAAGAAGTATATTACAAAGCAGATGTTCAAGAAGGTGAAAGTTGTAGATTATACAGCTGTTATCACATTATACAAATGTGAATTCCGGATCAATAAAATCACTATTGAGAAGAAGAAGAATTGAAAAAGAATAATTAATCTTTTGAAGAAGTTATATAAGAAGAAGATGAGTGATCTTACTATTGAAGTCATTTCTTCTTTCAATCTTCTTAATATTTCAATACTATCTTTAAATACATCTGTAATATGCAGTTCTGCAGCTTTTATTGATGTGTTTGATTTACAATTAATAACTCAGATATTGACATTAAAAAGAGCTCTTGCTATTAAAGAAGAAACAATCTCATCATTCTGCAAGTCTTATCACAATTCTGTGAAATTCTCTTAAATTCATGAAATATTCAATGATGAAAAGCTATCTACATGTTCAAGAATCATAGTCATCAGTTAATAACTGAAGAAGATTTGAAATTGATAATCAAAGAAATGAGATTCTTTACAGGTTGAATATGAGATAACTGCTCAATTACATTGTCAAAAGATAAATTATTATAACTTTGAGCAGAGCACTTGCTGAATAGTATATAATAATACTCATATTCAACTTCTGAGTAGTGAGATTGCAAGTTGAATAAATAGTATTAAACATAACAAAGCAATGATTGAGACTTCTTCAAGAAAGATTAGACTGACTGTGTGACCGTGTCTGAGATCAGAACTAGATTTTTTGATAGTTTCATTATCAATTCAACTGATCTCATTACACAGTTTTAACATTAGATAGTAGTCTCATACTCTTTCAGTGAAACTTACTGTCTACTCTTATCACATTTTTCAAATGAGATTATGATTTTCACTTCTCAATTTAAATTATTTTTATTGCTTTAAATGACTTTAAATCTCATTTAAGTGTTATCAAAAAGCATTACTTTTTAAAAAATTAAAAATAGTCTAAAAAAAACCTTAAAATGTCTAAAAATAGTAACTTTATACTAAGAATGAGACTAAATGAGATTAAATGAGATCACTTTCTCATTTTTTTCAAGTCATGGTTTCATTTTAAGATCTGATATATAGTCACTTTACATGTTTTTTTGATAGTCAGTCCCAGCGGGATTCACGCCAAGAAATGTATGAGATCAGACCAAATGAAACCAAACGTGAAATTCATAGTTCTGGCGGCCAGTCTAAGAAAGATGATAATATAATTAATAAGTAGAAAGAAGAAGAAGAATCAGAAAAATAAATCTATAACTTCTACATTTAATTCTTCTATACAGACTTCTTAATTATCAGTAGTTATATTTTCTTCTTCAGCTTCAGCAGCTTCAACTTCATTAAATATAGCATTTTTAAGTGAGATAATCAATGTAATGATGATGAAATATATGATGAAAGAAATAGAAGACTGAATTCGCAATTTCATTATTATTTATATTCAAATCTGCTATCAAATCTTTTATCAAACTCTTTATTGAATTCACTGTTGAATTCTTCATTGAATTCACTGTCAAACTCTTCATTGATTCTGCTGTTGACTTCATTAAATTCATCTTCAATTCAAAGCAGTTCAATATCTCAATTCAGTGAATAAGCAGATTTATTCTTTGATGAATACTTCAAATGATTAACAATCTGAAGATCTAATAAAGCTTCTGATTTATTAGATACTAAGTTCATTCTTCAGAAGAAAGAATTTGAATTGAATTATTTACAGATGTTAACAAGAGAACAGTTACTTGATATCAATATTACAAAGAGTATATTTCAAATTATAAGAGATGAATTAAAATGTTCATTATAGCAGGTAAAATGACAGAAATTCAAATCATCTCTATTAACTACTTATAGTGATAAGAGCAGATCTTATACTGCTTCAATATTTAAATCTGTATTATAATTAAATAAATTACAATCTGAATCTTTCTGATTATTATAATACTATTCTATATAAGCAGATCTGAAATATTCTTTTACATCTTTTATTCTCATAATGTTCTCAACTGTATAATGTAAAAAAGCTTTAAAATCTTTATTAAACTGAGTATCTAACTGATCTCTATATCTTCTAATTCATTTCTTCAACGCGTGAAAAGACTCCTCTATGAAATTATAGTCCGATGAATATAATGATAAGAATAATAGTTCAATATCTGTATCTCTGCAAAGATTCTTCAATTCTTGAGATCAATAAGTATTGCAATTATTTATTACTAAGTAGTAATAACTCTGTTAATATTTAAGTAGTATCTGAAGATGTAAGAACTTATTAAATCTCTCTGTATTGTAGAATCTCTGATATATATTATAATCAAGATATTTATTAACAGTTATTATAGATAAGATTAATTATCTTCAAGATTATTTACAGAGTCTTCTAATATAATAAGAAAATTCTCTGCTTGATTATTCATATCATTAATCTGCTATATATTTATTCACAGCACTCTCATTTAAAAAGATCTGTTGATCAGAGAGATACTAAGTGAGTTAAATATATTATTCAGCTTAAAGTTCTTCATTATATTAAGTAACTATGAGTTTAATTTATATTATAGAACTAATAAATTAGTAAATTCTATATATTAAGTAATATTTAATTAAAATATTAATCATTTTCTTTTATATTAAATTCAGTTTCTTCAATAATCTAGATATTGACTGTGAGTGAATATCAATATTAAATTTATTCTTCATAAAGTAGACAGTCTTATTATAATATATAGTTGAATATATCTTGAAAAAATTCTCTAATTCTGATAAGATATCTGATGTGATCTTTGACTTTACACTATATATTAAATCAGATTTTCTAGCAGTTTTAAAGCAGTAAAGATTTCATTAAATTTAATATACAGTAGTCAGATAATAATCAATACTTTATATAATCTCAGCAGATATATAATCATTCTTAAGAAGATGTACAATCTCATTGATAATGAAATCACAGAGTTGAGATATTATATTAATAATAAAGATAAGAAAGATACATATTTGAATAATATTTAATTGAAAAAGACATGTATTGAATGATATTGAATGATTCTAGAGAAATGCAGATATTTTGATTTTTTAATGATGTTTTACTACTAATTTTCAGAGAGAGCTGGGAAAATTCTGTTTTCATAAGTAATATATCTGTCATAATATCACTACTTAGTGATGAATAATTGTAATACTTATTGATCTCAAGAATTGAAGAATCTTTGCAGAGATGCAGATGTTGAACTATTATTCTTATTATTATATTCACCTGATTATAATTCTATAGAGAAGTCTTTTCACGCGTTGAAGAAATAAATTAGAAGATATAGAGATTTTGAAGCTTTCTTACATCATACAGTTGAGAACTTTATGAGAGAAAAAGATACAAAAGAATATTTCAGATCTGCTCATATAGAATAGTATTGTAATAACTAGAAAGATTCAGATTGCAATTCATTCAATTATAATATAGATTTAGAGATGGAAGCAGTATGAGATCTGCTCTCATCACTATAAGCAGTTGATAGAGATGATTTGAATTTCTGCAATTTAATCTGTCATAATAGACTTTTTAACCCATCTCTTATAATTTGAAATATACTCTTGTCAATATTCATATCAAGCAACTGTTCCCTTGTCAATCAATTGAAGTATTCATCAAATTGAGGTATTGGACTGCTTTCAATTGGAGATGGATTCAATGGAAGATTTCAACAGTGGATTCGATCGAAGATTCAACGGTGGATTCGATGGAAGATTTCAACGGAGGATTCAATGGAAGATTTCAACAGTCGATTCGATGGAAGATTCAACGGTGGATTCAATGGAAGATTTCAACGACGGATTTGATGGAAGATTTCAATAGTGGATTCGATGGAAGATTTCAACGGCGGATTTGATGGAAGATTTCAACGGCGGATTCGATGGAAGATTTCAACAGCGGATTCGATGGAAGATTTCAACAGTGGATTCGATGGAAGATTGAACGGTGGATTTGATGGAAGATTTCAACGGCGGATTCGATGAAAGATTTCAACAGTGGATTCGATGCAAGATTGAACAGTGAATTTGATGGAAGATTTCAACGGAGGATTCAATGGAAGATTTCAACAGTCGATTCGATGGAAGATTCAACGGTGGATTCGATGGAAGATTTCATCGGCGGATTCGATGGAAGATTTCAACAGTGAATTCAATGGAAGATTGAACGGTGGATTTGATGGAAGATTTCATCGGCGGATTCGATGGAAGATTTCAACAGTGGATTCGATGCAAGATTGAACAGTGAATTTGATGGAAGATTTCAACGGCGGATTTGATGGAAGATTTCAACAGCGGATTCGATGGAAGATTTCAACAGCAGATCTGGATGTGGATGATAATGAGATTGTGAATTCAGTTCTTCTATTCCTTCCATCATATATTTCATCATCATCACATTGATTATCTCACTTGGGAATGCTATATTGAATGAACTTGAAGCTGCCAGAGCTGAAGAAGGGAATATAATCACTGACATTTGAGAGATCTATATAAAAGAATTGATTGTAGAAGTTGTAGATTCATTCTTCTGATTCTTCTTCTTCTTTCTACTCATTAATCATTTTATCATCTCTCTTGTTCTTTATCTCATTGATAATCACCTGTTCATACAATCTGTATGAGATGGTTCAGAGATAGGAATTCACAGATATAGAATTCTCAAACTGAGTCTCTATATCCTTCTCATCCACCTGCTCTTTCATCTCACCATTGACCAGATCCTCTCCATTATCCACTGGAACTTCTGGAACAGGTAGTGTGGGGAGACTGAGGTGCAGAGTAGGAGTCTTTGTACAGGCTTGTGAAGCAGCAGGACAGCGGGCGTTGCGAGGCATATTGAAAAAAGAGTTGATTGATATATGTGGATTTGACGATAAAGGTAAGAAAGACGCGTATTTGGATGATATTTGATTGAAAACGACGCGTATTGGATGATAATTGAATGATTCTAGAGAAACATGGATATTTTGATTTTTTTGTGGTGTTTTGCTACTAATTTATATGGGAGTGGGAAGTTTTGGCATTGTGGAGCCCCGCCATCTGTGGCCAAAAGGGCTACACCCCTCGCCCAAACTATCTCAACTTCATTGAATCATGATATCGATTTCCCAACTGGCCTTCTCTCTCCACCGAAACGTAAATAATATATAGGCAGCAGGAGAAGGAAGCCCATTTACCTGTGCTCTCCTTTCTCCTTGCTCAGCAATTAATTAAATCAATTTCACCCAACTCCACTCACCGTTCCGCTTCCCCTCATTCCGATTCCTAGCCGGCCCATGGCCCCAAACCAGCCAGCCTGGGCTTGCCTCTATTATCCCACTGGGAGTCTAATTGACTAATTGAATGATCTCATAATTGCCCAAAGTATCGCTAGCAGTTTGCCTTATATCGTACGATAGGAATAAATCACAATAATGGACGCCGGGGAGCCCCGGCCGGGGGAGGAGCAGCTCGGTTTGAACAACAAGAGCATCGGCGTTGCGGGCAACGGTGATTATGATAACGGTGGAGAGGAAGGTGGTGATATCGCGCCCAAACCGAGACAGCTGCCTGATGACTTACCTACGTCGCTGGACGATAGACGGTCTGTGCCGGTTTTTGGGACCGAAACGGAGATATATGATGCGTGGCAAGGTGAGGGTTGCTTGATAGTTTCATTTTTTAGTCCCTAGTTTGCTCTAGGAATGGAAAGGGAGATTTTGATACTTTCCCTCCCTGGATCTGGGGTTTGATATGTACTGGTGGCTTTTGTATTCTTCTTTGCCGATTTGGATTGAGGACTGCAGGGTGCCTACGACGCTAGGTTTTCTTCTGTGCCTTTTTATCTACCTGGATGAAAATTACTGACCAGACATGCCGAGTTCTCTGTCAGGTCAATCCCATTTCCTCACAAACCCCATTCCCGCAAAGCCGCTATCCTTTAACCTCGCGCTCGATGATGGAAGCCATGACGAAGAGTACAACATCCACGCCCGGTATACCCACAACCACTACCTTGATGCCGACTCAACGACGACGGGGGAATTGAAAGATTCCGATGCCAGGTTGATGGAGATGTTGGCAGCGCAGGCAGCACACAGGGAAGTGGAATCGGTCGGTGTAGATGAGGACGATATCGCCACGGACGATAAAATGTCGGACGAAGAAAAGCGGGATGTGTTACAAAAGAGCTTGAATATGGCGGCCAGCAATGGCGACGTGGAACGGGTGCGAAGGCTTGTAAAGGGGAAAGCGAGACAATATGTGGATGTCAATACTCCCGACGAGGAGGGGACGGTGCCCCTGATATATGCGAGCTGTTTCGTACGTGATAACGGTTCCTTGTTGATTTCGTTCGGAGGGCAATGAAACGAATTCGAAAACTTCTAGTTTCGACCCAAATAGTGTTGATATTCTGAGGCTGACGAAGGGAATCCTTTTCTTTTCTTTAAATAATAACAGGGACATCAAGAAGTGGTTTCTGCACTACTCGAGGCGGGTGCGGATGTCGACAAGCAAGACCGTAATCGGTGGAGTGCGCTCATGTGGGCGATGACGAACCGACATAAGACCATTGCGAAAATTCTCCTCGATTATGGCGCATCGCCGGATATCAAATCATCTTCCGGTGGGACGGCGTTTGACTTTGTACAGCCGGGGACGGACATCTCGAAATACCTACAAGAGAATGGGTATAGTTTTGGCGCATCCGCGACTGCGGGCGACTTCTATGAATTTGGGTTTTCGCATAATAGATTCGAGGAGGAAATGGCTGAGAATGAAATGAAGAGGCGAATGATGATGGAGGAGAGTGCCATTAATTTGGAAGTCGACTTGTCGAGTTTAGGGCTTGACGAGAAGCTCGAGGTATGTTTTGGGAGTGTAGTCTTTTGGTGTGAAGATGGGTAAATATTACTGACTCTTCCGTGCCTTTAATAATATAGTTACCAGAGGATTTTGAAGATCAACAGGAATTCGTATGGGACAGGTGCCTTAATGATCAGATGTTTGTTTTCCAAGAGAATGAACTTGAAAGGATTTTGGACATTATTATTTCAAACATGACGCCTCAGCGGTCTCCGTCGCAGAAGCCTGTCCCAGCCAACCTTCTTTTTCTCAGCGCTCGATACGCCCATTACCATGCGAGCCCTGAGCTGCTAGCCAAATTACTAATTTCTGCAATGGAGCGGATCAACGAGGTGGTGGAAAAACATCAATGGGATATGACGATTTTGGCCTTTTGGATATCGAATGCAACCCTTCTCCTACATTACCTAAAGAAAGATGGCGGCCTGGTTGAAGCTACAGTGGGATTTCAGCGTCATCTTGCTGAACTAATACACGAAATCTTTATCCTTATCATCCGGGATGCAGAGAGGCGGATGGACAAAGTTCTGGATACAGCCATGCTGGACCATGAAACCATCCCCGGGTTTGAAGATGTTCATTTCCAGAACGAATGGAAACTCTTCCGCACGAAAACGAAGGTAAAACCAGAGCCACTAGAAAAGACCCTTCGACCTCCGTCGCCGAAACGGAGGGCACAGGTGTCGCCACGGAATATTACCTCTTTACTTTCGTCAACGTTATTTGTCTTAGATTTATACGACGTGCATTCTATCATTACAGCACAGATTTTGGCCCAGCTTTTATACTGGTTAGGAGCGGAACTTTTCAATCGCATTATGACAACAAGACGATATCTGGCTCGAACGAAAGCTATGCAAATTCGGATGAACGTTTCTGCGCTAGAAGATTGGGCACGTAACAACAATCGACAACCAGAGCACTACGAGAACGGCTCGACATCATGCACTGGAGACACCACTGTTGATTCTGCTCGAAAATACCTAGCTCCTGTCATCCAACTACTCCAGTGGCTCCAGTGTTTCTCCTCGCTGGGCGATGACCCTGACTCTCTCATCATGACTCTTCAACAACTTCAACAACTTACTCCGAGTCAACTCCTGCATGCCGTGAAGCTCTACCGGCCCGAGGTTGGCGAACGGGGTCTCCCAAAGGCCGCAATGAAATATCTCCTCGCCTTACAAAAGGACCCATCCCTCCTCGATCAGATCCACCAGCCGCAATCTCTGATACTACAACAGAAAGAAAAAGGTCTTCTTCCCCTTCCTCCCGCCTCAGATTCAAAAGATGGATCTACCCCACAGACAACCACAACAACCCATCCCTCCGTCGACAAAATTCCCAAATCCACCTCCACTGATGGAGACTCCACAGCTGAACCATCATCACCACATGCAATAAATAATAATAACTCATCAGCTAACATCCCCCAATCTCCTTCACCCTCGTCACCGCCGCGACCTTCTTCAGTGTCTTCGCTGAGACCAGACCCTGGAACGATTCTCTTAAACCCAACGAGCACTCTCCCCTTTTCACTACCGACAAGTACAGATATGCTTGTGAGCTATGGTGCTGGGTTTGGAGGTGTGAATCGAGAGAGGGAGAGGAAGTATATACCCACCGTACCGACGGAGTTTCTCAATAAGTTTGATCGAGCTGAGACGTAATGTATTGAGCATGAAAGCCCCTTTTTTTTGTTCGAGGAATCGGGGTTGGCCTGGGCGTGCTATTGTGGTAGTAAGGTTCAAAAAAAGAAGGCTTTTTGGTGCGTTTATGTAGAATACATCAATTCTATTTGATATCTGTCTCTGATGTTATTAGGGGTGGAGCAAGTGCCAAGACAATTCAATTTCACGTGATATAAATTAATGTCCCGGCTGGGATTTCAGGAGACGACAAACCAACATCCTCCATTTCGTGCAAGATTGGCAAATGCTTGATGGGCCAGGTAAATGGTCATGGAGGGATGGTCATTTTTAAATAAGCCTACAATAATTTTAACACATGCCTCTTTTTGAACTTTGCTTTGTCGTTTCTGACTGCACGCACTTCATCAATGCCACAGATGAATCACTCTTCCACCAGGGACTGGGTGAGATTGACTCCGCCGCACGAGATATACATAGCTTTTGTATATCTGGGATTTGTGCGCCTGTGGAGCGAGGTTCAGAGTCTGTCTAAACTGTTTGCCAGCTATATTTGCATGGATATAGTCAAGTGGCATACTTCAATCAAACAGCATATATTCACAATTGACAGTCGATGGCATTCTCTGTAACAATATGCAGAGCAGAGCTACTCATATCACCGAGTAGCTGGAAAAATGTCCTTCTTGGTGACATGAACTGTCCATATCGGGAAATTCTAATATTTCTAGATGGTATAAAAAGGGTTGCTGAATACCTTTTCCCTCACGATCTTCTTCCTGATTACAACTACACCTCCGCTATCGCATCATTAAAACTGCTACATACGAACCACTGTCTTTTACTAGCCTTCTAAGCTCTTTGCGAATTTGCCATTTGCATTCATTTTTCTACCTACATATTATCAAACATGCTCTCCCTACCCAGGCATCGAATACTAAAACGGGCTCGAGGTTCTCAGAGACTAGTCCGACAGAACTGTGACACAGAGCAATACATCTATGTCGCTTTAGCACTAGATATAACTCTTGGTCTCCTTTCTTCACGAACCGCAAGGGCGGCCATGACCAGGATTACTCGCGCCTTTGATGAAAACTTACCAAGTCATCTACAGCAGTTCCTCGGTATCTCAGATGCAGGAATAGCTAACTCCATCGACAGATTTGTAGACATAATGTATATGCAGACACCATTGATTATTATTGATGGAAACATGACAGACCCCGCAAACCCTGCCTGCCACCATCGCGACGTTTGGAGTGGGACTTTTAACCCTTTGAAGCATGAAATACTCCTAAATAAGCAGGTGAGTTACTCCCTGGACCTAATAGACGTTTACAATTGAATTTAATCATAAATATAATCACAGCTCGTCGAGGACATGGTAAACGCATCTGAATCACGACAAGTACTCCGACGCTTTCAGTTCCAATTCGTAAACCTCTTTTTTCATGAAATCGGGGGGCACCTGCTATTCACATATCTCTACCATGGCTTGCCAAGCACGCCGCGGCAGGTTACGCCGCCTAATTGGCGCGAGCAGGACCAGGAAGAAGATATAGGGGAATCGGGGCGGACGTTAGAAACCGTGGTGTTTGGCGGAACTGTGGAATTTTTTGATATCCCAGAGGCTCGTATAAAAAAGAATAAAACCTTGCAACCCCATTTCTTTCCCGAATGAAAAACGATACTATCTGAAATCTAACCGAGTCGCATATATACGTGTAGATCTCAACCCCGTGGGGTTGTTGACAACCACAACAACGCGAGGAGAGTTGCCAGCCAGGCAGTTGATAACGCCATTCTGCATCAAGTGAAGCCAACCTGTCTATCCAGCCTTTGAACCCCTCTCCCCCGTTTTCTTCACTAATCACGTCGAAAAGCATCGTTTGGCTAATATGTACACCCTTTGACTATACATATGGTATGTAGTCTTCTCCGTTCCGTACCCGACGCCGGCCGTCCAATAAGGGTAAGCCGGCTCGTTACACTTCAGGGGCATGTGGACGCCGCCTGTGATCCGCGAACATAGCCGAAACGTGTTCCAGAGCTAGAACTGGAAAACTAACCTGTATAACTTGAATCTACACGTCTCGCACTCGGGGGCATTTGACGCAATTGAACGAAAGGAAATGAAACGCAGCGGCGCGGTATAAACGGGACATCTCTTATTATTATTTCTTTTCAATTTTTCTTGGCGTTTTCCTGTGAGTCCGTTTGAATGGTGGTGATATTTTATGGATCTTGAAATTGAGGAAATTAGGAATGTAAGAAGAAGTACCGGATATATATGCAGGTTTTTTCTAGTAGACTTTCTAGAATGGGGGAGGTAATTTAAATACCTTTTGATAGTTAGAAGGCTTGGCTTGGCTGGGCTATTGTGAGGGTGCTGCTTCTTCATTAGGTAGGAACTGATTTTGTAGCACTCAATCATACCGGATTATGGTTGTTCCACCATTTCAATCGGCGACACGGTCGCCGAGCCATAAATCATAGTATAATGATGGATGAATGATGGAATCACTGTAAATAAGTTATAAACTGAAAAAATCAATTATCATATTAGCAATGTCACTGAATTCAATCTATATAATCACTAATTCTAAAAACCATCTTATTCACTGATATCATCCTCTATTGAAAATCACAGACACTTAGACTGACTGTCAGAATTATGAATTTCATGTTTGATTTTATTTAATCTGATCTCATACATTTCTTAGCATGAATTCAGCTGAGACTAATCATTAAAAAAACATACAAAGTAACTATTTATCAGATCTTAAAATGAGACTATAACTTAGAAAAAATAAGAAAGTGATCTTATTTAATATCATTTTGTGAAAGATGTAAAGCTTGTGTGATTGAAAAGTTACTAGCTTGTGAAAAGTTATATGATGAAAGGATTAGTAAGCCAGATCATGTGACCTGACACCCTCACTTATCAGAGTAACTATACATGATGCTATATATAAAATTCGCCTTCAAATCAAGTACAGATATAAAAAATGACTGAAAAATGTGTAGTAATGAAAAATCAGTTATGAGATATATTATTTTTTATTCCTCTATCTCTCTATCTTCTTTATATTCTCTTTTCAATGTGTATATTTTAATGTTTCAAGTGGTTTAGTAAGCTTATCTGTCACATTCTCAGCAGATGAAATATATCAGATAGATATCTTATTCTTGTGAATAAGATCTCAAAGAATGTGAAAACAGACCTCTATATACTTTAAGCAGTGTGAAATTGCTTCAGAAGAGAATAGCTCTATGATGAACTTATTATTAATATGAATTGTATAAGTCAGATCATTGACTGTGATGAGAATGAAGTAATCATCAGTATTCAGATTGTTGAGATGAAATGAGATGAATTCAGCATCTTCTAGAAGCTCTCAGAGACAGACAAGCTTATATACAGTCTTGAAGAATGTAATATATTCAGTCTCTATTGATGACTTAGAGACCTCTGTTTACCGGCAACTTTATCATGCAATGAGGCTACCTGTCATGTAAATAATATAATCAGTGATTGAACAGAATTCTGAATCTCTATCAGCTCAATCAGCATCTGTGAATACTACAGGTTCAATTTCAGCATCTTTGTGATAGATTATACCCTCATTGATTGAAGTCTGTAGATATCAGAGTGTATACTTGTATATAACTCAGTTCTTTGATATAGACTGAGAGCTGAATTGTTCAAGAAATTCTGTGATGAAGCTTATATCAGAATATGTATTAAATGTCAGATATTACAGAGATCTGATACTGAATTGATAGAATTGTAGAATAAATTCTGCTATATATACAATCAGTTTCTTATCATTATTCATAAAATCAATGTTCTTCTTCATAGAAGTGAATGTAGAATGATAGTTATTCATTAAGAACTTCTTCAGAAGATTTCTTATAAAGAGAAATTGAGACAATATTAATGAAGTTAAATCTCTATCAATCTTTATTTCTAGATAGTAGTTGAAATCTTTCACATTCTTGATCTTATAATTAGTAATGATTTTAACTTTGACTCAGTTCAGATCATCAATCTTCAGACTGTAGAGATAAACATTATTTATATAGATAATTATATAGACTTATCTTCTATCATGAATACATAGTCTGATATCATAGAAACTGACTCAGAAGTCTGAGTGTAATAGCATCTTTCACAGCTTCTCATATTATAAGACTACTGCTTACTTAAGACTGTAGAGTCTCTGTATCAACTTACATACAAGATTATTATAGTCTTCACAGAATTCTGTGAATTAATTCATATATATCTGTTCATCAGCAGGCAGTTGAGTGTTTAAAAAAGTGATTATTATATTAATCTGCAGAATATATCATTCTCAGAATACTAAGATTATCATAAGAGCTCATGAGATGAATACAGAGATGATAAATACAAAGATTTTTAAGTAATTAACTCTCTTTTATTAAAGATTTTCACAGATAACTCAGCAGATCTTATAGCAGATAACATCACTTATATTATTAAACTTTTTATTAAATACTCATTGATTATGAAGAATACTCATTTATAATGTTCTCTCAATTAGTTATCAGATCTCTATCTATTTTAAATAATTAATCTCTTTAATATAGATCTTATAATAATATTTTCATTTCATAAAAGCTTTGACACATATGAGATTTTTCAGAATTGAAAGTACAGTGATCTCAGAATCAGTGAGTAGAACTTCAAGACTGTCTCTTACTGAAGATTTTCTCACTATAGTGATATTTCTTATAGATGTTAAAGAATTATCTGATTCAACTATAAGCTCTGAGAAGTTCAGTATATTCTGTACTAAAAAGATAGATATTCTCACAGAGATTTCATAGTCAATTTATCAATTATTAGTGAGTATGAGAAATAATGAACACTCAGATTGAATTTTCTCATCAATAAACAGATTATCTATTGATAAATTAGAAATCACTGCAATCTCTTGACAGACTGCAGTGAGTAGATCTAATATCACTGAAGAAATTATTATAGCTGCTTTAAAGACTGCATTGAATAGAATCTTCAGATTGTGTGAAGTAATCAGTATTAATAAATTAGTAAGATGAAGATTCCTCTGAAAGATGATGTCTTTTGATATATATAAATGCCTGTTGAAGGGATTCACTAATCTATAATTAATAAAATCATCATATTTGTCACGCTCCCGGCCGCGTCAAGGCCCCGCTGCGGTTTCACACGGCTCATCACTTTCATGTGAATGATTTCATTCATCCCGCAGGCTATCTGAACCGGTTTCCTGTAAGAAATCCTGCTTCTTGCGGATTCTTTACCTCTATTCTGTGAGAGAGGTTGAACGTGGTTGGTTGTTGTTATCTAACTAGTAGCTAGTGAAAGCTAAATATATGTGTGTGGGTCACGTGGGTTAGGGCTTGTGTAGTAGCTCCAACACCCCCCCATGCTACGCAGGCCAGTTAATCCACGCAGTCAAAAGCGCCCAAATCATTCAAATCTGCAATAAAAATTAATTACAAAAAGTAGAGTCTAGTTTCCTCATAAGGACTAGCTCCATACATGAAAAACATAAAAAACATGCAAGAAGAACGCTCAAATCCATTCTTTCAGTATTGATATTACCCCCAGTTGTTCTAACGCCGCGGGATCTCATTCTTATTATTTTTGTGGTTTTCATCGTCATAGGCATAGGCATAGGTCATCGGCATAGGTCATCGGCATAGGTCATCATATGGGCAATCGGTGGCCCGGTTATCATGGGTTATCGTGGTTATCATATAGGCACACTCGGTGGCCTGGTTATCGTGGGTTATCATGGTTATCATATAGGCACACTCGGTGGCCTGGTTATCGTGAGTTATCATGGTTATCATATAGGCACTCGGTGGCCTGGTTATCGTGAGTTATCATGGTTATCATATAGGCACTCGGTGGCCTGGTTATCGTGAGTTATCATGGTTATCATATAGGCACTCGGTGGCCTGGTTATCGTGAGTTATCATGGTTATCATATAGGCACTCGGTGGCCTGGTTATCGTGGGTTATCATGGTTATCATATAGGCAGTCGGCGGCCTGGTTATCGTGGGTTATCATGGTTATCATGGGGTATCATCTTTATCCTGGGTTATCATATGGGCATTCAACAGCCCGGGTATCATGGTTATTGGTATCATGGTTATCAGTATCATGGTTATCGATATCCCCATTGTTTTGGCGTCGATATTGGCGGTTATGGTTATGATTATGTCCGTGACATTGTTGACACCATGGGTTATGATTATATCCATGATATCATTGATACCACGGGGTTATGGTTTTGATTATGATTATGGTCTTGTGAAATCTGACCTCTGGATCCACGGCATTTTCAATATTGATATTGTTATTGGCATTGTTATTGGGCATCATAGGCACTGGGGCCTGGCATCATATAGGCACTGTGGCCTGGCATCATTATCGGTATTTCCTCATCCTTCTGAGCAATAAGCTGCCTCAGAATGGTGGCTTCATCATGATCTGCCATATCTTCAGGTTCTGAAGAATTATCTTGGGCTTGATTATTGCGTCGTCTTCGCGCGGTTATTGGTGTTGGAAAGAATCCAGCTATCTGATTCTCTGAAGTCTCTTTGCAGTTGATCGATCTCATATTGACAGGCATTTGGTATGGGGTATTTGAATGAAAAAAGCAGCTATTTGAAAAGCTTATTGTATGATTATTGCATGGTTATAACACTTCATAGAAGTGCAAGGGCTTCATAACCTGTGAGAGAGGTTGAATATGGTTGGTTGTTGTTATCTAACTAGTAGCTAGTGAAAGCTAAATATATGTGTGTGGGTCACGTGGGTTAGGGCTTGTGTAGTAGCTCCAACATATTCCTATCTCTCATGTAACCAATAGAGTTAGCAGCCCTTGACTACACACAACTATATAGACTGAAGTTTGTGAATACTATTCATAACTCAGCTTGAATACTATTATATATTTAATCTCTACATTTTATCTTTGTACTGTGAATACTTTTAGTAGTTAACAGTATATATTATATCAAGCTGTAAATATCTGAATAATTATCTGTGAGTATTTATTATTACATTTCAAGCTCAGTCAGTCAGCAACTGTCTATTATAACTGAAAGAACTAGAAACTTATATACTTTAATCTCTATAAACTCTACTGTAGATACTCAGAAGCAGTTATCTGAATTATAAATAACTTTTATAGAAGAAGTCTCAGAAGACTTATTAATTACTTATAAGATATTATTCTCTATATCTGTAACAGAGAAACTCTTCAAATTCATGAATAAATCAATCTCAGTGAAGAATATTCTTAAGCATCTCTTATAAGATTAAGCTATTTTTCTATAAGAAATACTTACTGTCTGTAAACACTTTTAAACTGAGTCTTTAAATATAATCTTCAGAAATATCTATGAACTGAAAAGAAACTTTCTTAAGCTGTGATCACTTAAGATCACTTATCAAACTATAATTTATAAAAGTTTTTACAAGTTTGTATTTGAAATTGACTCACAAGCTCAGCTGCGTGATATAAAAGATGAAGAAGCTGTTATTTATATAATAACAGATCTCTATTATACTGAAGTTAAGAACTGATTAAATTATCTAGAGAATAATTATAAAAGATCTCACTAATCTATTCTTAAAATCTATTTAAAGAATAAGTTAAGAGACTCTATGAGTCAGATAGAGAATATCTGAGCTGTGATTATTAATATTAGAAAAAGAGATGAGAAATCTGATAAAGACTACTTATAGTACTTTATAAAATTATAATATAAATTAAGATCTGTGAAAATAGAGTTCTAAAATAAGATCTGAATAATGATATTTATAAAGAGACTGAATAAAGATATGTAGAATAAGCTTATTAAGTAAGACTCTAAGTTCTTAACTCTGAAGAAACTGATAACTCTTATTTATTACTTACAGATCACTGTAAAAGTCATAGATCTATAAAGAGTAAATCATCAATCAGCTCTGTAAGAGTTAGAATAATAAAGAATAGATTTATCAGAGAAAGATAATAAGATATAGAGAGATTTATATCTGACTACTAAGTAGAGAGAGAGAGCTTTATAAGCTTCTATAAATAGAGTATATAATAGAGAGATTAAGAAAAAGAAACTCTACTTCATTTATTCTAAATCAGAATATCTTTATACAAACTATATAAATAAATCAAAATAGAAATTTAAGAAGTTATGAACAGAGTCAGTAACAGTCTTCTTAAGAGTCTCAAAGCTGATATCTGAATCTGTTACTCTCTCAATGAAAATGCTTACTTATAGAGAGAGATTACATTGCAGTACTACTTCCAACCGCTTCACCACGAACTCGCTCGATTTTTCGAATAAGAACCCGCTGATAGATCCATCGAAAAGCCCTCGATCATACAAGCATTTTGACCCCATCACCGACCGCATACCCCGTGTGGTGGTGGAGTTATCCAGCCAAATGTGAACCAGACATCATTCGAAACTCCTGTGTGGGATTATCCCCCATTCTCCCCTATCACACCACAACCCCGGGCCAAATTGCCATACAAATTGTAAGATGAAGAGACCTAGTCATATGCATCAATCTTCTCAATTTTGAAAGATTTCTGATCTGTAGTTGTGGAGATATCTGAGAAGTGACCTCTGTGAAAACCCTGTCCATCTTTGATGTTTCAAAACATCAACATCAAGTCTCACTCTCATACTGCCCTTTCTAATCTAGCTCATCCCCAGCAGAAAAATATAAAAAGATATCTCAATGATAATATCAAGTATATAATCAACAGTCACTTCTGAAGTGCAATCTTCACAGTCTATCTTCAGTGTATCTAGACATTAATATCAAGTCTCACTCTCATATCATCTCTCTCAATCTAACTCATCTCTAACAGAAAAGTACAAAAAGATATCTCAGTAACTATACTTAATATATAATCAGCAGACATAACAACTATAAAATTAGTATATCTCAAGATCTGACTGAGTCTTTGATCTCTACACAGTGAGATATATTAAATCTAGTTTTAATATCTCAATATTCAATAGATTCTACAAGGAATTGAGAACAGCAATACTAGGTTTCTATTGAATTTGAGAATTAACTCTATATTGATATAATCATTGATAAAGTCTTCTATTTTAAGATATAAATAATCAGTTTCTCTACATTCTGCTGACAATATTTACATTATTATATAGAAACAGACTTATATTCTCTATAATATCAACACTCTGAAGAGAGAAAGTCTTGATAGAGAGTATACAGTAGTGCATATCTTAGCAGTTTCTATCTCATTCTTCTGCAGCAGTTAATGCAAAAAAAAAAGATTTTAGAAATAGTTTTTTACTTCTCTTGAAAAAGTAAGATGTTTTTCTCTGAGTTTTATACAATATTCTTACAAAGAATTAAAAACAGAGTTGTTTTCTATTATAATTTCATATTCTTTTAAATAAGAATTACTTTTTCAGTGACTGAAGAGCTTTTATTAATACTTAATTCTTTTTTACACTCTTTATTAACTGATTTGAGTTGTATACTTGTTGTGTGAGAAGAATTGAATAATTTAGAATAAAATTGAATAGTTTTAATCAATTTCTCTGTAAAAAATTGATTTATTTTTTATCAGTTTTTCTCTCAAAAACTGTCATATCATCTGATTTACTATCAATTGATATCATACTTTTCCTCACTGTATCTCAAGAAAGAGATTGTAAAGATTTTATTAATTTATCTTAAAAATCAATTTTAGTTTATTAGATTCTCTTCAAAAATCGAACCTAGTTACTGAACTAGTGTGAAAAAAATCAGGTGTTTTATACATAAAAGTCTGTTATTCTTCTTTTGAAATAGTCTGATCAACTTTTCAATTGAAAACAGACTTAGAAATCTCTTAATTGAAACAGTCTGATCAACTTTTCAATTCAAAAGAGTTTAATAAATATCTCAATTGAATTAGTCTGATCAACTTTTCATTGAGTAAGAACAATGAGTTCAAAAGTACACTCAGTTGATGTGAAAAAGAATGCTTTCTCAAATGCTATTTCTTTGATTGAAATTCTGAAGAGAAGAAAGAAAGAAGAAATAGAGAAACAACAAGTTCTTGAAATACAGAAACTTAAAAAAGCAAGTAAAATTCTTGAAAAGCAGTGTCTGAGTGAGATGAATGAAGAAGTTCTGTTAATTCTTCATACTCAGACTAGACAACTACAGAAAGTGATCAAGTTCAAACTTGGAATTTCAAACACAGTTCAAAAAACTTTGAAAATTTCTAATATAATCACTGACTCTTCAGTTTGCTCTTCTTTCTTTTCTACTTCTTCTTCTTCTTCTTCTTTAAATCAGAAGAAAATATATACTCAAGCAGCTGAATCTGCTGTCTCTAAACCTGCTGTCTCTAAATCTGTTATCTCAAAACCTGCTCAAAATTCTGAGAAAACTGAGAAGAATACTGCTCATATGTCTAGTGATAGAAGAGTGAAGAAAAAAATATAAAAAGAGAAAAATCTTCAAATCTTCAGAAATAGAAAACTTATTCTCAAAGTCTCAAATCAGGACATATTGCAGAAAAATAAGCTAAACTCAAACCTTATTTTCAGAATTAGAAATGAAATCAATCAGCAGTTTTTTTCTCAGTTAATGACTGATATTGAAGTTCAAAAACCAGTTATAGCTTCAATTGAGTTATTCTTCTTTGAAAACTTCATCATTCTGATCACAATGTCTGAATTCAGTGCAGAATTCCTTATTCAGAATAAGAATCTCTGAAAATCAGCAGTAGAATCTTTGTTAAACACAACAATTCTATCTGAGAGAGATGAAAAGTGAAACAAATTCATTCTTTATAATATTCCAGTTGAAATTTTTGACTGTGAAGAAGAAATACTACTTCTTAAAAATGAATTAGAAGAATACAACTTCATTCAACTGAGAAAAGAGTCTGTATGACTAAATTCAATTGAGTTCAGATAAAGCAGAAGAAATGCCTCTGTTCTAGTATATATAAAGACACTTAAACAGTCAAAGATCTCTGAAGTAAGAGTAGCAGGTTTGAAAATGAGAGTTCATGAATACAAAGACTCAAGAATGAATCTCAAAGCTTAAACACAGTGTTCAAACTGTCAAAGATATGAACACTTTGCAATCTTCTATTTCAGAGACTCAAAATGTGCATTCTGTACTAGAGATCATAAAACTAGTGAGTATAAATGTGAAACATGCTCAAAAAGAGATGAAATATATCAACATACTCTGCTTAAATGCTCTAATTGTAAAGAAAAACATGCATCTAGCTCAAAAGAATGTATATTTACTTCAAGAACTCAAAAGAACTGAAGAAAAGATGAAGCTCAAAGTAAATCTAGAACTGAAGAGAATAGTCAAGTCAGTAAACTCACAACTGCAAGCTTAAAAAGAAGAAACTCTCAACTATCTAAATTTTCAAACTTCAATTCTTCAGCTAAATGTAA